TGTTTCAGCTTGCTCAATGGGCCAGTGAGACCAACCTCGGTGGGTGGAAAATGTCAGGATAATCATGGCGATGGTAGGGTAAAATTGTTGAGTATTAACTCCAGAAACCCAATGTGGGTTTGTTAAAAGTAATTTATGTTAAATGAACTTGATTGAGCGTTTTTTTAAGGAAGAGACAAATAGAATCGATAGAAAAATGTATTTATTGTCTTTCAAAGTATCTTTGACAAAAGTGTCACATAAAACATTTACAATGAAAAGTGAAGCCCAAGGAATAACAAGGAAAGTGAGAAGAGGATTATGAATTTGGCAGGGAGACCATTTTTCAGATGCATTGAGTGTTAAAGCAGTGTTCCATTAAGGTTACTTCCAGGATCACTGCTTTCAGGTACAAATTAATGACTGGATGTGAATATATGGGTCACAATTTAAAGAAAAACACATCTTGAGAATTACACAGATATACTGTCGAGACACCGCAAAGTGAGGTTTGGAAGGACTTTATTGGAGAAATGTGATCAATATTCTGTATTTCAAAACGTTAATAGTAATTTTACAGGATGTATGTAGAGACAGATAATAATTCCTCCTACAGACGGTATACACAGTGGTACAGCAGATTCAGAGCAGGAAATGTCGACCTCATAGAATAGGTTCTAAAATGCTGTGAAGATACCCAGTGTTCAGACCTTATGGCAGACAGAGTCCATGAGGGGAGATCAAAGGGGATGACCTTATCAGCACAAACCCAAATGATTTGTCAGGAAGAAGTCAGGACAGAGCGTCAGCATGGACACTCTGGGCTGAACTGCTTCTTTCATCTGCTCTGACTCATCTAGCTTCAGTGGCTTTCTGGTTTTTGATATATTCATGACTGATCTTCATCTCAATTCCAATTACTCACCCAAACTCCAATTCACTGCACCCTACATCAATCCAAACTATAACCCATAAGGGCAGCAGAAGGTCATTGTGCACATTGAAACCAACGGCATAGGAAGAGAAAAGGACAAGGTAGAATAAAAGAAATTAGGCAGGAGCCTATAAAGCAAGTCCTCAAGGGTAGTAATATCTGGATTACTCCCGGCACCATGTGCTAGTCAGAGTAGAAATAGGAAGGTAGAGCAGATGAATGCCTGGCTGAGGAGCTGGTGCAAGGTAGAAGGATACGCGTTTTTGGATCATTGGAATCTCTTCTGAGTTAGAACGAACCTGTATAAGAAGTACAGGTTGCACTTGAATTGGAAAGGGACTAGTATACTGGCGAGGAGATTTGCTAGTGCCGCCCAGGATGATTTAACTCGTATGGGGGATGGGGAGGGGGCCCAGAGAGGTAGTGCGAAAAGGGATCAGTCTGAGGATGTGCAGTTAGGAAAATGAGCAAGTCAAATAGTCAAGGCAGGCAGGAGCAAAGCAGTGAATGAAATAGGACTGATTAATTAAGCTACATTTATTTCAATGCTAGAGGCCTGACAGGTAAGGCAGATGAACTCAGGGTGTGTTTGAGAACGTGGGACTGGGATATCATAGTCATCACAGAGATGTGGCTCAGGTGTAGACAGGACCGGCAGCTTAATGTTCCAGGGTGCAGATGCTATAGGAGGAAAGGAGGTGGTGGTGGTGGGGAGGGGGTGGGGGTGGTTTGAAGAAAGGGTGGGGGCGTTGGGAGGGAGGAAGGGGAATGGCGCTTTTGGTTAGGGATGACATTATGACTGTACTTGGAAAGGATATTCCAGCGCATATGTCCAGTGAAGTTATTTGGGTGGAACTGAGCAATAAGAAACAGATGATCATCTTATTGGGATTATACAATAGGGCTCCTAATCATCAGCAGAAAATTGGGAAACAAATTTGTAAGGAGATCTCAGTTATCTGTAAGAATAATAGGCATGTATTGGCAACGGATTTTAACATGCCAAACTGGGACTGCCATAGTGTTAAGGGCTTGGATAGAGTGGAATTTGTTAAGTATGTAGAAAAAAATTTTCTTATTCAAGAGGATGTGCCTAGTAGAGAAGGGTCAAAACTTTATGTTCTCTTAGGAATTAAGGCCGGGCAAGTGACTGAGGTGTCAATAGGGGAGCACGTTGGGGTCAATGATTATAATTCTTTCAGTATTAAAATAGTTTTGGAAAGGGTTAGGCATGATCTTAAATGTTAAATTTCTAAATTGGAAAGAGGCCAATTTTGATGGTAATAGGGAAGAACTTTCAAAAGTTGATTGGGCGTGCATATTCGCCAGTAAAGTAATGAATGGAAAGTGGGAATTCTTAAAAAATGCGATAATGAGACCAGGAGACAGTATGTTCTTGTTAGTGCAAGGGCAAGGCTGGTAAATGTAGGGAATGCTGGATGACGAGAGAAATTGAGGCTCTAGCCAAGAAAAAGGAAGCATAACTCAGGTATAGGCAGCAGAGATCGAGTAAATCTCTAGTAGAGGATAAAGGCAATAGGAGTATACTCAAGAGGGATATCAGAAGGCAAGAAGGGAATGTGAGATAGCTTTGGTGGACAGGTTTAAGGAGAATCTAAAGGGACAGATTAGCGGAGCATTTGCCCTCTGTACACTCCAATCAATACCACCTTCTGGTTGCCAACCATTTTAACTCCCTCCTTCCACTCCTTTTATGACATGTCCATCCTGGGCCTCCTCTGCTGTCACAATGAGGCCACACGAAAATTGGAGAAACAGCACCTTATATTCCGCCTCAGGAGGTTACAGCCCGATGGCCTCAAAATAGAATTCATTAGTTTCAAAATCTCCCCAACCCTAGCCTCATCCCATGTCCAGCCCTCTTTCTCATTCCCGCCTCCTTGACCTGACAGCCTATTTATCTTCCTTCTCACTTATCCGCGCCCCCCTTCCAGCTGACGTATCTCTACAGCCCCATACCTGCATCAACCTATCACCATACCACCCACCTTCTCCCTATATTTATTTCTGAGCTCCCTTCAGCCTATCCAGTCTTAATGAAGGGTCCAGACCCGAAACGTCGACTTTCCTGTTCCTCTGATGCTGCCTGAACTGCAGTGTTCCTCCAGCTCTACATTTTGTCCACTCTGACTTCCAGCATCTGCAGTCCTCACTTTCTCCTGAACAAGTGATTTTGGGAGCTAAAAGTAGGAGAGAATGGGCGAGCGATATGAAAGCCATTCAAATAATATGATAATAGGCCCAGGAGTAGGTGAAAATCGATGACTGTGCTAAAATCAATCCATGTCATAACAGGACCTTGTCTGGGATGTGTAAAAACACGGAACGGTGGAATCGGACTCTAAAGTTATTGAAATCGATATCGAGGTCCAGGTGCCGCAGCATCCCCAAATGGAAAATGAGGTGCTGTTCTTCAAGCTTGCGCTGAGGGGCGCTGGAACATTCCAGCAAGCCGAAGGCAGAAATGTTGGCCAGGGTACACGGTGCTGTGTTGAAGTGCAGGCAACTGGAAGCTCAGGGTCATTTATTACTGACAGAACGTAGGTGTTCTGCAAAGCAGTCACCCAGTCTGCGTTTCGTCTCGTCATGAAGAGGGGACCACACTGTGAACAGCGAATACAGTAAAAATAGTTTTCACAGTTGTCGATATTGAGATCAGTTTGCTGCTTGCTTGTCCATTTCATGAATCTGTAAATATCACTTGGTAATGATGCTTCCCTCGACACTGGTGCACTGTCAATGGCACAGCAAAAGATAACATTGTAAAGTTGGATTTGTGGCTTTCTGTCTCAGCATCTAAGTAATAAATCAACAGAGTGATGGAAACATTGTAAACACGAAACAAATGCTCTTAATTCGAAGATAGAATGATGGCAGTACTAAGAGGAAGTAAGCTTTAAATAAATGTACGTGACAGAACAGAATAATGTGGGTTTTGGGTGAAGGACACAGGGGACCACAGGTGAGGAGGTTAGAAGATCAAAGACTGATAACAAATACTAACAGTGTCTCATGTCGCTCCGCCAATTTCCCAGCCAGGACAATCATTTTCCTTCCATCCAACGCGCTCCACATAGTCGCTGCTTAAAATCCATTATATTCTCCAAGGGAACTGCTCCCTTTGGCAGCGGGTTCCACATTCTCATCACACTCTGGAATGAAATCCCTCCGAATATCGGAATGAAAATCCCGTTCTAAGGCAGTTTATGACCAGCTGATTTTCTTTCTGAGCCAGAGTCAGTGGGAACGATCCATTGAACGCTTAATAACTCAGTGACGAGATATTATAGGTTTATTTCCTGGTTATAATCGCCACTTTAAAGGGTCATTTATCAGGCGACAGTAACAACGGTTATGATTCGCATACGTGTTTTTATAGGAAGAAGCTTACTGCATGTTGGAAAAAGTATGAGATTTTATGAAACGGTTCTTTAATATTGTAATCAATGACAAGATGCCTGTAAATGATACAACTTGGTTCGCAGGCTGGAAGTGATCACTGACCTGATTTCATAGATCATAGAATCCCCAGAATGTGGAAACAGGCCCTCCGGCCCAACAAGTCCACACCGACACACAGAGCATCCCATCCAGACCCTTCGCTCTAATCTACATATCCCGGAACACTAGGGCAACTTAGCATAGCCAACCCACCTAGCCTGCACGTCTTTGGATTGTGAGAGAAAAGCGGAGGAATCCCACGCAGGCACAGGGAGAATGCAATCTTCAGACAGACAGTCGCCCGAGGGTGGAAACGAACCCAGGTCCTTGGCGCTGTGAGGCAGCAGCGCTAACCACTGAGCCACAGTATTTGGGCAGTTTGTGTGACTGTGACCTTCCCACTGACCCTGAGAGAGACACTGCCCACGTTTCCAGGGAAGGACCATCCCTGTCCGTGCATGGCCCTTGACCAACCCGACGCAGACAGAGTTCAATTATGGATTTTTTCCCCTTACTTTCTGTAACACTAACTCGCACCATAACCTGAATAAAGAGAACAGCAACATATTCGAACCCAGAATAAGAGCAGATTTAATGTAATTTAATGTCCCGAGGTATTTCTCAGGAGCATTAGAAAGGGGAAAAGAAGTTACACCGAGATATTATCCCAGGCGATTGTCACAGGTTTTAGCGCATCTTCAAGGAAGAAAGAGAAATAGAGAGATGGAGAGTTTCAGGGAGGGAGCTCCAGAGCTGAGGGTCTCGGCAGCTGAAGGCCCAACCTCCAATGGGGAGAGAGACGAAAATAAGATGTTCAAGAAGCCGGAAGTAGAGGAGCAGGATTCTCGGAAGGTGTGTGGCCCATGTATTACACAGTTGGACGTGAAGCTTTTAGATGTTTGTATGTGTTCCACAAGCTCTGTTTATAACACAGCAAGTGCATGGGGAAAATGTTTGTCATCTCCAGTTCTGGTCTAATATTGTAATTACCCTTCCCCCAATTTAGCTCTTTCACCCAAGGAGCGGTCTGCCATGTTCATTAACCTGGCCCTTCCTGTTCTTCCCATTAGATTTACTTTACTTAATCTTCGACCTTCTCCTGAACCACTCCACCTGGTAACCTAAAGCTCTGTTTCTCACCACCCTGCTACACTGGTTTAAACCGTCCATAGAGGTAAGAGCAAAGGTCCCTGCAAGGATATTGGTCCAGTCCAGTTTAGGTGCAACCCATCGCTCTTGCACAGCTCCCAAATGCCCTGGAAGAGATACCAAGAGTTCAGATATCTGACACCCTCCCTCCAATACCAGCTCTTCAGCCAATCACGGTTGTTATCTTCCTATTTCTGGCCTCAATATCATGTGACAAAGGGAGTAATTATGAGATTGCAACCCTTGAGGGCCGGCTCTTCAACTTCCGACTTGACTCTCTAAATGCCTTTTGTAGAAAGTCATCATTCTTTTTGCCCGTGCTGCTAGTAACAATATGAACCCCAATATCTGGCTGCTCAGGCTCCTGCTTCAGAATATCCTGTGTATGCTCAAGGACGTTTTTTTAATCTTTATTCATTCACGGAATGAGGGTGTCACTGGCTAGGCAGCATTTATTGCCCATCCCTAATTGCCCAGAGGGCAGTTAAGAGTCAACCACATTGCTGTGGGTCTGGAGTCACATGTAGGCCAGACCAGGTAAAGATGTCAGTTTCCTTCCATAAAGGACATCCTTGATGCTGGCACCAGAAAGCAACACTCCACCCTGGCGTCACAATCGCTACTACAGGAATACCTATCGGTGCCCCTGACTATAGCGACTCCAATCTCTATTGCTTGCCTATGCTTTGACCCTGAAAGGCTCTCTGATTTCTCTCGTATTGCAAGAGGAGCACTCTGGGGTGCCAAGTTATCCTGCCATTGTGATCATTATGAACTACAAACAATAAACTTGGAAGCAATTACATAATCATACCCACTGTTCATAAAAATCAGGTTTCTCACCCTCGTTCTTTATTCCTAATATAATACTCACCACCCTGTCTCCCTCTAGATGCTGCTCACTCTCTCTCCACCTACTTGCTGTCCACTCATTCTCTCACGACTCACTCTCTCCCAGAATCATCATCTCTGTTCCATCTCCTCCAAAGTTTTCTTTCATCTCGTCCCCACTCACTCTACTGCTTACTCTCGAGACCTGTTTCCTGAGCAGCCAATCCCACGTCACTTTCTCAGTAGTAACGCCACCTCTGGATTCCAGTTCACTGCCGCTCCTGCCACCACTCTGACTTCCTCAATCCAGGCTCCACTCCTCAGGTATTTATCCAAAAGCTCTTGCCACTTTTCTAGAGGATGAAAATGGATGTGTTACAAGGACTCCTACAAGAAATTCCACACAGACATCAAAGTGTGGAAAACTCATTCAGAACAAACCGACTTGTCGGAACATCTTGTATGGAGTGACATAAGTCTTGGAGAACACCCTTCCAGCAGGTGGACACATGGAAAAGCAACCATTGATCTCAAGGCCAGGGACCAGTTTCACATCTCAGAAACATCCACCAGCTGTGTGGTCAGAGATCCAGCTCCAGGATCGGGTTTATCAGCCATACAAGGACCCAGAGATCCCATGACAGTGACATGTAATGTCCTTCATGGATAATCATACTCATTAGCGAGTGATTACCGATGAGGACCAATGTCATGCCACTAAGGGCAACAACATACACAATGTTATTGTCATCCTGATCACAACTTTGGTGTGCAGCTGCATCAACATACAAACACTGGGGGTCACTCTGGTCTGCCCCAATCTGTCTGTCTTTCAGTGCAATTATTTATCCTTGACCGAATATTGCAGACTTAGACATTTGCAATGTCGAGGACAATTTGCTGAGAGATACGCTGAAGTTTGGGGCACATGCTGTTAAAGCACATTGGGAAAAGACCCCAGTACAAGCTCCTTCAGCCATTAAACACGGAATTGTAATAATCCACTCGAGGTGTACGTTTAATGTGCAATAGGATATGTAAATAGTGCCTAATTATAAGTTAGCTCTGTTGCAGATTATTGGAAGAAACCAGAGCAATTTTTTTTTTGCACTTTACTTCGCTTCAAATGTGAACAGTTCTGTTTATGGCATAAGTGTGCTGGCTTCAGGGCAGATGTTAGCTTTCTTCTGAGCTGAATTCCAGCTATCTTTAGGCTTCATGTGTTCTCTGCATTTGATATTTCTTTTTATTGAGATTGTATTTTCCACTGAACCC